TGTTTGTCGGAAACTCCTTAGAATCCCAAACTGCTCAAACATGGGGCTGTTTTTTTTGGGGTAAGTTCATAAGGAGGGTGTCACGTTCACGGACCCATGTGAGCTGTGTGTTTGGCCGTTTGCAGCAGAAAGCAAACAGGGAATGCCCAAAGTGATAAACAAAGTTTTAAAGGAGAAATGGGCATGCCATCCGCTTTGGCATCACAAGGGTCATCCTCTTTCCAACAATCATGTAAGTGCACAGGAGGCTGCAAGATGAAAGTCCTCGCTCAACACGCGCTGATGGTCCACTTTGATAGTTGGAAAGCAGGTCTTTACAGACGTCTGTTGTCTGCGTACCTTGTATAGACCTCACCGTTGTCAGGCACTTTGGAAGAATGACCTAGCCATGAAAATAAGCCGGATGGGCTCTAGGATTTACTGTGCTGGTTCTTGAAGTTTATCCATGCAAGTTGCAGTTTCATGCCCATTTGAAGGATGACAACTATGATATGATGACCCTGCAGATTCTTCAATTACCAGGTGTACCGTTCAACCCACCAAATCACAAAAGCCAGCCTCAGGCGCCAGCGTTAGTTCCCGTATTGGCGGCCGACTTAGTTCTGTTGTTTTTTGGCAGGTTCCGTTTGACCGGCACCAAAAGCATTTGTTCCATTTGCTGAAATGAATCTGAATTTATCTTCCCCTGGTGGGTTTTAAGGGGCATCGATTTCACTACTGGAAGTATGTTCTCATTTTTGCCCCTGAGCAAATGGAAGCATTGGGTTGGGTTTGATGCCGTCCTTGCCCACCACCTGTCGTTTGTTCCCTACTCCGACTGAACATTCTACACATTTTTTCCAGGGGTGCCTTCCCCATTTTTTGCAGGGGGATCCTTCTTTTCAGGAAACCATTAGAAACCCAGGGGAAACAACCAGTTTTTGAAAATACCGATGGTTGAAAAGAATGGGGAATCAACCCCTAGAACATTGCAATTCCCCCTCGCAAGGGATACTCAAAGAAAGGATGGCACCCACTGGACTCCCTTACACTCTAAGCAACAAGTGTCATTATTGCGCTCCCATGAGCCTATGGGTATTCCTTCCACAGGGGAGAAGGTCCCGTGGGTTTTGGCTTGCGCCCTTCTTCTTTTTTTGCCCCGCTCCCGATTGAAATTTAGACCCCTGAAACAGCCAGGTTTTGAGACCCACATTTGGGTCTTCCGTTGGAAGGCCCAGTAGCAATTGGGGTGGCGCAGATTCTTTGCCCCCCCCCCAAAAAAAAGAGAAATGGCAAAAGAACAACAAAAAACAATGTAAACAGACAAACACACAAACAAACAAACAAACAACCAAACAAACGAGCACACATGTGGAGAAGGCAACAACAGTTCAACAACAACAACATCAGATTGCTTACCTCAAAAAAGATGTCCGGTTGCTGGTGCACATACATTTCACCTAATTGGTGGTCAACGAACAATTCCTACCAAACTTCTTGGCTGCTCAAGCTACTTATCATAACCATGGTTATGGACGATCACCCCAGTTTCCCTACTTACCATGGTTATATCTACTTACCCTCCCACCCTTTTCACATGGAACCTGACGTTCGGGGGGTGCCTTCCCAATGTCGGGTTCCGGCTGTGTTCATTGGTGTGAGGGCCACCTCACCACGATTACAACCTCCCAAGTAGCTTGCGTACCCCAAGTTACCGGAACCCTCCAACTAATTAAAAAGGGTCCCAACAGGAAAATGACATTAACACAGCCGGAACCCGACGTTGGGAAATGGTGCCTTGAAAAGCAAACCAAACAATTCCCTTCAAGGGGACAAATGGTCCAAACCAAGAGTCTTCCCAAGTTTCGGCACCCTCCAACCTACGAGAAGAAAAACAAACAAAAAACGCGCCCCCTTCAGGAAAGTGGTCCAACCCACCAGGTCCCCTTACGGAAAAAACTGGTCCAAACCACCAGGTCCCCTTACGGAAAAAACTGGTCCAAACCACCCCCCCAGCCGCCCCTGCGGGACGTGGGGCGCGCACGTGGCGAGCGTCGCGCTGGCGGCTCCAGGGCCTCTGCGAGCAGCGCGCCTTGGTGCCCAGCGAGCGCCCGGAGGCGCTCTGCGGCCTGGTGGACTGCGCCCAGGCGGGGGGCGGGGGGTGGTGGTGGGGGGGGGGTGGGGTGGGGGGGGGGGTGGGTGGGGTGGGGGGGGGGGTGGGTGGGGGGGGGTGGGTGGGGGGCTCTGGGGTAGCCATTGGATTTTTTGGAATGGTTCAACCTGGTTCCCAGTCAGCTTGCTGCTGAAAGGAATATTTTTGGTTTGTTCTTGCTTATTTTAAAGGGTACTGGACGTAATGTCTCATTTTTTTCCAGGCGGCTTACGCAAATGGAAGCCAGCCAGCCGGTTCCGGACAGGTGTTTGGTGTGTTTTGTTGGGAAAGGTGGTTGGGGTTCCGAATTTGACCCAAAAGCTAGTCACTTTTAGTGGCGGATCTGAAAACGGACAGTCTATGGTTCTAATAATACTCTGCTTGATCTTTAGACTTTAGCTTCTGGAGAAATAAGGATGTCTCAGCTTTTGAGGGGGAGTAGAGCCGGATCACTTTCCGTGGAGACACCCCCCCTACTTACGGTCTTGGGTCCTTGAAAAAAAAACGGGTCCAGGTGATCACGTCTTGCATGTCCAGGTGGCCCCCGCAGGAAGTGAGTTGATCAAATTTGAGTGGAGGCAATTCCATTCTTGCTGGTTCCCAGCCATCTGGTTCTGTAGGTTTTCAAGTTTCTGGTTGGTTTAGTGGCAGTTTTTACACTAAACAAGTTAGACTTTAAGCAAAACATCGAAGGGGAACAGCCCAGCATTGTCGACAATTTGAGCCTTGCCGCCATCTGATGAGCGATTCACCGAATGGTGATTGACAAGGCTTCGCGAGCAAGCATGAAAGCGGACCCGTTCACCATGTTTGCTAGCAAAGTATTGTGCGGTGCTGTCTGGATCGAATACGGGGGCTATAATCTTTGGTGAGGCCGAGTCGCTTATGTTCTTGAGAGACTGTAATGATTGAAGCTGCCAAAGGTAATAATATCGGAGCATTATAAGGGTTGTATTCAATAACCTTCTATGGTCATGACTAAAGTTGTTTCTTCACCAAAGGAAGAACACCGCAAAACCGGCCGCCCAATCCACTCAAGAAGTGAGTAATCCTTCCATGTGCCTTACGAAACCGGTTCCCCTTGTAGTGATGTTGTTTTAGTGCTTTGACCAGCTCAAATGACGGTAGCCTCTACGAAACCAGCTACAGGACATCCTACAGGAAATCCTCGGTTTTTGTTGGGCTGTGGCCAATGTCCTACAGAATTTCCTGCTGGTTTCTATGTTGCTAACGCTAGGCCCTCGTATTCATTGACTTCCTTCCCTAGCTCCCCCAGTAGTGCCCTTCTCTCCCCTTGTTGTTGGGAAGGGTTCCCCTACTAAAATCGACAAAATGGAAAAAGTTGGTACCCTTATTCCAACCTTATTCTAACCTCTCAAATCTGGAGGACCTAGTGTGTGTGTTTGCTTTTTTGTTTTTGGTGGCTTCCTGTTGGCTTCCCTTTGGTTAAGACCGCCCAAGATGTACCTGTTGACTGGAGGACCTGGTTCCTTTCCCCTCCGCTCGCGCTTCGGACTTAGGCCATGCGCCGCTTCGAAAGCTCGCTGCAGCTGATCCGAGGCATCGAGCAGGAGACGTGACGTCGAGTGAGTTCTCGCTCGATAGGTCAAGCGGTGTGTCCAATTGGCTTAAGAACATTTGGTTTCCCCTTGTTGGTTTTAAAGGAGATTCATCACAACTGGGATTTATCACTACTACTATTTATTTGCTTTTTCCCCCTTGGTGGTTTTTCGCAAGGGGCTTTATCACTACTGACTTTTTTTCCAGGGGCTTAAGCAAATGGAAGGTTAATGTTTGCTTTATGGCGATTTGGGTAACGGATCGTTGCAGATGCGCAGGGGAGCCGTTGAAGGGGTACCTGGACTTTATGGCTAGTTGGTATCATATTGTTGGACTTTGTCACTTTTTGGTTGAAACAGGTGTGATGTTCCAGAGGGGACCCACAAACAACTGAACTTTTTGCTGAGGGATCAGCTGCAACCAAGTTTGGGTGTGGCTCAAAAAGAGGAATCGGCCCAGAAAGGAGCCCTGGTAAAATTGGGGCAACAACCTGCTGGAATTCAACGGGTGTGCGTGTGTGTGTGTGTGTGTGTGTGTCACGTTAGAAAGCTTTTTGGGTTCCGTCCGTCAATGTGGGGTATCGTTTGTTGAGTTGGTACCTCTGTAGTTTTCAGGGGAAACCAAAAGGAAAGCCACGTTTGTTTGCGGGGCGGGGGGTCCCCTACAACAAGACACACCATTCTGGCTTCCACAAAAAGGCCGCGGCAAAATGGGTGGCTCTTCTTTCGGGTCCGATCCCCCGAAACTGGATTTCACTCCCCATTTGTACCAAAACTAATGGACGCCAGAAGGAAAACCACCGATTTTCGAGGGGGTGGGTCTCAAAAGGCTGGGGGACTCAAAGATCCAGGAGCTGCCGCAGCTGACAGAGCGCCTCCGCCCGAGATCCGTGGAGGCTCGGAGCGATACCTGGAGTCATAGCGGTTTGGCCGCGGATCTTTGGCTCTCGCCCCAGCGACTCACAACCTAAGGCCTTTTGAGATTCCAAAAAACCGAGTGGTTCCGATGGACGTTATAATGACTTTTTGGGGCTGGACCATTTGGGTGGAGAACACAGACAGTTCAAGCTGTTTTTCCTGCCAATCTACTCAGGAAGTGAGTTGTGTTGTTTTTTTCCACTTGGTTGAAGTGGTTTTTCCGTAGTGGGAAACCACGCAAAGTTGAACACTTTGGCAGAGGGTCGTGACAGCAACCAAGTAGAGTCTCCATGACCCTTAGACAATGGGGTTATGACACCATATTTTGGGGGTAATGACCCCACTTTTGATAAGGTCATGGCGACACCAGGTACTCGCTCCAAAGCGAAACCAGCCTTCGACCTGTTGTGTTTCCCTTTTGGTCTAGTCACGATTCCAAAAGGCTACCCTCCCATCATGAAAAGTCACAATCCATCATGGTTGGAGGGAGGGCGACCTTTCATTTCCAGGCCCTTTGGGCAAGTGAGTCCCCCCCCCAACAGGTTCCAGCCTGAGGACAATTTGACAATCCCACTTGAATACGAATTGGTCCCCCAAATTACGTAAGCGCTTCTTCTTCGCAATGGGATTCGAAACCAGCGATTTACCCCATGTCCGGAACACTTGGGAATCCAATTCTCGCTGGTAACCGGTTGCCCACTGGCGCCTGTTTTCCTTTTCCCCTTGCATCTTAACCAAATAGAAAAGCATGCCCTTGTTTCCCCATGGAAATCCACTGGGCATCTGAGTTCGGCATTGTTGAACTTGCAGATGGGTGTGTCTTGTTAGTTGGTACTTAAAGGGAAAGCAAATGGAAAACCACCCTTTTGGGGGTCCCCTAAGCGACACACCCAGAAGATCCATGGTTGTGGAAAGTGAAGCCTACGCCATCCAGGAGTGTCCTATTTAGAACATTTGTAGCAAAGCAATACGCAAAATGATTCATTCTTCCCACATTTTTTGGCCCCAAAAACAGGTTCGGTGTTAGAGAACCCCATATGGGGAGCTCCGACTTCAACCCTGTTCCTACATAAGCAGTAGCCGGAGACTGCGGAGAGAAGTTCCCATTCCCAGTGACCAACTGATCCAAGTTTGGTCCAGGGTCCTTGGACGCCTGCATGGAGGAGGCTTTCTGAGCCCAAGTCCAATGTGTCCAGTTCAATCACTCTTCTGGGGGGATCTGTTGCCCCCTTTTTCTCTTTTCAACCCTCGTACTTTTGGAAACCGGATCCGTTTGCCCCAGGTTTCTGGAGGTTTTCTAGAAAGATTCGGATCCGTGGAAAGAATGGGGGAGGTACACCTAGAACTCTCCCTCCCCTCCCTGGCCAAGCGCCGGCCGTGAAGGGTTTGAGGCGAGGGTTGGCCGGGTGCGGCGCGAAATCACGCCCAGAAAGGAGCACCCTTGTCGAATGAAGCCGTCCGAACAAAAGAAAACAAGCAGTTCAGTTCCCCGACAAAAGACCAACACAAAGCCAGGCAGTGCCCGTTATGACACTAAAACTCAACCAAGACAGGGACACCTTTTACTTGGTGTTCGCTTTTTCAACATGTTTCAATCTCCCCACCCCCTTAAAAATGGAATTGCGAGAGGGGAACCCTGGAATTCCATTTTTTGTTCCATTGTCCTTTTCACAGGGAAGACAAGATGCTTCAATGGAGTTGGGGGACCCCCCCCCAATTCCAGGTTCGGGGGCAACCCTGCTTTCCAATGGCCTTCCGGCATTGGATCCCAAGCAATGGTGCCATGTAAAGGTACCATCTTACATCTTCACCCTGGATGATGGTAGTTTTCAGACAAAATCTCTAATAGTCTAAACCTTCTACCGCACAAAAACAAAGAAAAGGGTGTGCTTTTGCTTGAAACAAAACACGGGTGTGCTTCTCCGGGGTGGGGGGAAAAGCACTTGGGGGGGGTGCTGGTTGTGGTTTGCCCCTGGGTCAAAAGCCGGGGCCCCCAGTGAACATCCCAATCCCCACTAAAATAGGTTCTAAAACGGGTGGTGCACCCACCCCAAAATGGTGCCTAGGTCCCCCAGTAGTCGTGCCCTTTCTCACCCCTTTTTTGTTGGGAGGGTTCCCCTACTGAAACAGACAAAATGGAAAAAGTTGGTATCCTTATTCTAACCTCTCAAATCTGGAGGACCTAGGTACCATTTGGTTTTGACCACCACAGCCATTTTCAGACCCGAAAACCAAACAATCCTTGAGGCTGCCTGGCAGCTCAGCAGCTGGGATCGCTTGGACGAGGCTCTGCAGGCGCATTTTCTGCGTGGCTTTGGGTTTTTGGAACCCGGGCAAAGGCATGGTTTTCCATAGGTGTTCCATGGGTTTGCTTGGAAATTGAAGGGGGGTCGCCTTTTTCTTTGCTTGTCATGTTTTTTGTTTTTTGTTTTTTTTTCCAGAAAAGGTATTGGTTTGCAGCGTGTTTGTTTCTGGTTTGCAATTATGTTTATGAATTTCAATTGGTTTCCATGGTGTTCAAAGAACTCACTCCAAGCTCCACGGGGTTCCCAAAAGGCTCTCGTGGCAGTCCTTTGGCCGAATTCCCGGACTCACAATAGATGTTAAATCGGTTCTCATGGAATTCACCTGACCGTGCCCGAAAACCGAAAACCAGCCGGTGCAAATCCTTTCTCAGCTTTTTTACATACAGAATCTCTTAGAAAACTGCCTGAAACCCAAAAAACAGCTAGTGCAAATCCTTTCTCATTTCTTTTGCATATGTTTTAGAAAGCCAGTTCAACCTAAGCCCGCCACTACGATTCGCGCCACCTTGTCTAGCCGTGGACAACCGCAAAATGGCGCCGACTTCGCCTGTACATTTGTTTGATGTGGGTGTGCTTGGTTTTGGGCCACAAATTATGTTATCGATTTCGCCGTGGTTTCCTTTGAACACTCCAAAAGTGGTTCCCTCAAAGACACCCTCGTGTGTTCTCTTTGTTTGGTGTGCCAGCTGAATTCGTCAAATGCTACCGGGTTTGGGGGGGGTTGAGGAAATGAACCTCCCATCGGTTTTTGCGTAAGATGGTAGGTGTTAAAGGCACACATGGAAAACACCTTGTTTTGGGGGGTCCCCTTAAACAGACATTCGAATTGCTCAACGCTGTGCAAGATGGGATGGCTCCCCGCGTAGGCTGGGGCAACTGCAGCAGTGTTCAAACAACAGTCAGCCAAGCGGTGATCGGGCATCCCCCCTTAGTGATACAGAGATCACAGAAAAGGTGACTCTGTCCATGGCCACTGGGCATCTGAGGTGATTTCCTACAGTTCGCGCACCTCACACAACACCATGAGTTGATTGACTGACGCCGGCCATGCACAATCTGTTTTGTCTCAGTTCTGATTGACACATCTCCCATATCTGTGTGTGTGTGTGTCATTGTTCAACCCCGAACATGCTTTGTTTCCCTGTGGTTTCCCAAAGCCACCAAACAGGAGTCTGCAGTAGTTGTTTTCTTCTTCTTTTTTTGGACACTAGGTTGCCGCCAGGCTGGGCCACTGGTTTAAACAACCAGCCGCTGATCCACACTTCAAGAAGGCGTTTCAACCATTTGGTTTATATGAGCCCCTCGCTTGGTGTACACTTGGGGTTTGACCGCGTGCTGAGCAAGGCATTGGCATGTAGGGTTTGAGACAGTCCCTGCCCCCGCCCACACTGGATTCCGTGAAAAAGGGTCAAACACCAAAAAAGTCTTCCAAATTGTGGTGGCCGTTTGTGTGTTTGGGGCAGGTTACCAGCCCCGTTAAATCCCTTTAGGCGTCCCCAACAAAAGTAACATAAAGTCAGAGGCCGTCCGCTTTCCTTTCCTCGATCGGTCGCAGGCGCCTAGCGCAGTGCAGGAGCACGCAGATTTTCAGGCAAACTCTGGGCTTGGATTTCGCTGGGAAAGATGTTCCAGCCATACAGTTCCTTGGATTTTTTGGGTTAGAGTTTGGAGGGCTGCATGTCATCTCCAGTTGCAACTTTTAGCGGAGTGCAAGGTTTTAAGGTTTTACTTGTAGCGAGGGATCCACGTTTCGTCAGTTTTGATTTTTAAGGGGTTAGCGACTTCAGCAAGGGGTCACAAGACCAAGAGGTTTGGTTTTTCATGTTGCCCCATCAATTTTCCATCCGAGTTCTTCTGTGAGGTCCCACATCAAGGCCGTTTTTGCCCCCATGACATGACTGGAGGCATGGAGGGTGTCCCCCGAAAGCGGCCTCAGCTCTGGAAAAAGTATGAGGTTTCCAGGCGAAACATGTCGGAGAGTACCTGTCAAAGGACAAGATAAGGTACACTTGGTCATGACTCTGACATGTGGTTCGATTCGCGTACACTCCAGCCCAGCATTGCCAGATTTGTTTGTGAGAGTCTATTGGCTAGAAATATTTGAATGAACCTCCTTGAATCACCCAGGGAAACATTACATGCTGTGGGCTGGAGGGTGCGTCAAGCGCGCTAAAGCCGCGCCTGCTAGGGAAGATATCTAAAACGACAAGGGATGACAAAGCATGCCGGGGTTGGAGCTATCGCTATCCAACGTAAATGCGCTCTGGAGGGGGGGGGGATTCTATATTCTGAAGTGGAATCTTCCCTGCGCTAACGTTGAAGTGGATCCGCTCGGCTCGAAATCTCTCCATCTTGCCGAAAGTGTGGCACTCCGCCCACAAAATCATGTTCAAACGCTTTCAAAAGAGACACATGTAAGACACCCTGCTTTTGGAACATGGTCCAAGCAGAAGTTGCTGCACACTGTAACCAAAAGTACAAACCAGCACAAGGTGTTGGTGCCATGTTAAAGTGAAACAGCTAAATGAGCGTACTCCATTTCAAGGTGCTGACAGCGCATTTGTTGCAAGGAATTGGGCAATCAAAAGGCCTGTGGCATATGAAGATTTCACCCCGAGGCTCACGACAATCTCCATGATGAAA